TGAGGGGCATCTTCTTTGGATTGCCGGATGACGGCGAGTTCACATTTCTCCCAACCTCTTAGTGAGAAGCTCAAGCATTAAAAAAAAACTCCCACGCATCCAAAGCCACTTGCAGCCCACAATCACTCTCCACCACCTTCGGGTTTCCACTCACTGAATGGGCATTACCATCATACCCTGCGCCTGCAATGACGAAAAAAATAGCGCACGACGTAGCATTTACCAGCAGCACGTTCAGTTTCATCTGCCCATTTAGTATGGTCCTTTTTTGTTTCCCACATAGCCTTCAGTTCTTTTTTACTTCCATTTTCGTTTCGACTCTCCGATTGAGTTCTACTTGCCTGTCTTTTCTAGCCCCTAGCCTCATTGTATCCATGGTGTGCCATCAAGGTTCGAACTCATGACTTGGCCAGAGTTACTGTAACATGTGAACCATTTAGGAACATGGCTGGGTACCTTCCAGTCGTGACTCTTCTCCAACGAGCACAATGCCATTTCCATTCCACGGACCATGTTATAAATTTCAAATGTCATTGGATCACTGACATCTTTGGCAACTTCATTCACTAACAAGATTTATGGATCTCTCCTCCCCCGCTTGATTTGACAAACTGCCCACAGTTTCGTGAATCAGAGCCTCGTTTCACCACTCGTCAAAAATTGGAAATTCTAGACCAAGGACAAAGGGAAATGGCGGCCGGTACCGTTTAGACCGTTCCATCTTGAACCGCAGGCTCAGGACCTGGAGTTTGATCCGCGAAATTGGGAGGCCTCCCCACAATAAAGCCTGAAGCGACCGCATACGCCTCACCAGGTCACCACCAAGGTGCTATATTTGGCACAGCGGGAAGAGTATGATGTCTTTTCGGAGATCAAAAGCAGATGGGCAAAAAGACAGTGGTTGTCGGATGAAGGGCTGAGCTTGTGGTGGGAGGGGAACCGGAGGACGTACTCGGCCAGGGTCTATAGTCTGCTGAATCAGCGGCAAGCAGGCCTGCTATGGCTGATAGTTTGTCAATGGCTGGTAACCAAGTCCCGACAGCAGGCTGCTCAAGGGGGATTTCCCTTTTTCCCCTTTCATAATCACAACCTTAAACCTGGGACCACACTGTTAGGCTCCCTTCTCACCGACTGCATGGATGAGCCCACTCCTAACAGGATCCATGCAGCAGAGGTCGTCGGGGCGGCAGCCTTATGGGCCGTGTGCTGTTGCAGGAATGAGGTGGTGAGAGAAGGACAGGCAATGGCCTCACCCAAAGCGCTAGCGTATGTGCAGGACCATCTGAGAAACGCATTGCAGGCGGAGTTTGATAAGGAATACCGGAAAACGGGAGCAACGACTCCAATGCGCAAAATGCAATTTTACAAAATTTGGCGCCCATACGAGACATTGGTCCAGCTGGACCCCTGTCGAGAGACTGGTGTGTTTAGTCCTTTTTTGAAAATTTAAACCAGATGAATTGAGAAGGGTGGGAGATAAGAGGGTTGATGACTTTGGTAGAATTAGGGGGACTGGGCAGTTAACAAATATGGGAATGGATAAGGAAATGCGAAGAGGGCGGGTAGATAGGACGTTACATCAGGCAAGGGGGAGGATAGAGTCTTACGACTAAAGAAAGCGATAATAGGGGATATATAAACCTCGAACCACGGACAACCAGTAAACCCCTAACAAGGTGATTAATACTGGGATTGTATTATCATTGTAACAAGAATGACAGAACTTGGAAAGGATAAGGAAAAGCTAGGAAAGTAGGTAAATTAAATATAGAAGCTATGGAAGTAGTAGGGGAAGGATGGGGTAATGAAGTTTTTTTTTTTTTTKGGGGGGGGGGGGGGGGGGGGGGGGGGGGGGAAGCAGGGAGGGGAGGAAGGATTGCTATGAAGGGGAACCTGAAGGTATGTGCGGCAGAGGAGTAACTTGGGTACACCGGGGAGTTGTTATATAACTGGGTACCGATAGGAGTCTCCCGATCCTAACTGCTCAGCGAAACGCCAACACCCCCCTCTTGTTCAGAGGCTTTCTTGTTCTCCAAACAAAACTGTGTTTATATTTGTCATGCTTGCTGGTGAAAAGCAACTGGATTGACGCCCCCCAGAAAAGAAGGGGCATGAGTGCGTGTGTTTAAAAAAAAAAAAAAAAGGAAATTCTGAGGGTATCTTACACTAGAAGATGGACAGATAGATTCAATGTCTCCACAATTGGCGAGTTACAGAACGAGGCCTTCACTCTCTGGACTATTTGGACGATCCATCATGGTATGACCATACAGACAAGTGAAACAAGGGCTCACTTTTTTTTTTGGTTGTTTCTGACCTTTCTTTATTATGCTTAGAAGCCTTCACACAAAAGCATAATTTGCCAGAGCTCCAAATACATGACAGCTAGTTAGAGAGTGCAAGCTCTTGCAGGTCATGGCCTTCGCACTGCGTTGGCCGCAGTTCATCATTGGTACTGGGAACCCTATAATTCCCTGAACAGTGGTGCATTTTAGCAGGTTGTGAACAGTGACTTTCTTGAACTCCCACTGCTTCCAAGCGGCGTTTTGCTGAGGCTGATTCCCCCCGGTGCACGAAGCTTCGTCGAAATGCTAGCACGCCGTTTTCCGTTTTCCCTTTTGACCGGCGCTGCCATTTTCATCTAGTGGAACTGTTCATCCGAGGTCTTCCGTTTATCGTTTCGGGCCTCCGACACTGCCCGCGGCCAACATATGGGAAAGGTACTGGTGGTTTAAGAGGGCAACTTCATTTGGTGCACTGGGCAAATTAAAGCCACCCATTATAAGCCTCCAATATCCTGGGGGCAGGGGCATTTTTGCAGATGCATGGTGGATCGAACAATTACAGGGAGAGAGAAAGAGAACAGGAAGAGGTGCAGGAAGAGTGAAACACAAGAAGGAGACACAAATTTGCAGCTATACTAGTTTCTCTGTACTTAGTATGTAGAAATTCCATACCCGATCTTTTATTTATTTATTTGTTGTTAATATATCCTGCACAATCCTGCGGTCCCATGGCAGTAGGAGAACCATCGGGATCGAGGGTGTCTTGTGGATGGATCTGGCCCATGGGTGGCGAGCTTCACCTGCTGGAAAACGGTTCCAGCATCCCATATACAACATTTCATAGGTAACCTCTGTGCGAAACCATTCGCTTTTCAAAACTGCAAAAACATAAGCCGTTGAAGATACTCGTAGATATGATCCCGGCTAGCTGGGGTCAGATCGCGTTGGGTACCATTAAAAAAAAAAGAAAAACAAGAAGATACTCGTAGTGAAGAACTCGCTACGAAGAGTCAAGCTCATTGTGAAAGGGGATCGGGAGCCTTACCCAGTTTCACTTTTGCTATTGAAAAGTAGAGTCCTGCAAACTCCTGTCTTCCCCCGAACACAACACACCCTCATTTTGACTGCACTGGCATGGAAAAATAGTCTGAAAACATTCATTGCGTTATGTTCGGGGGAAGACGGTAGCCTCTCAGCTTTTGGACTGTCTCTGAGCTTATCTTCAAAGCTGGCCTACAGTCTTCCCCCGAATACAACGTACGGTCATTATAGCTGAATTTGGGGTATCTTTCAATCTAAATACAGCTATAATGACCGTACGTTGTATTCGGGGGAAGAAGGTAGGTGCCAGGGGAACCGGAAACTCTAGGGTTTACGGGTTTAAGTCGAATGCCATACCCGATCTAACTCTCGTCATAGCAGCGAAGTAATCCCGTCCACCAGGGGAAAATAGGACAACGAAGGGACCTCGTCTTTTTCAATCTCATAGTACAACACTACAAAAAGTACACAAGCACAGATGATCTCATCATCATCTCGTCGCTACCAACTCCAACGGAAGGGGATTGTGGAATCGAAAGGAAATGCAGTTTTAGTATTTTAGCGTCCGTCAAGCATTCACAATGAATTTCTAGAGTTTTCAGTGCCTACAGAATTCCACTTGCAGGTACTGTAACTTTATACACACAACAACGAAATATGATACATCGCCACATCTTCACGGCATGCAATTTGATCACATCTGGAGGCAGACTCTGTCTGCAGCCAGCACAGGTTTGGCTGTAGCATATCTTCCCTTCGCATCTTTTGGCTTCATCCCGGAAGCCTTCCTAATAATATCTCCAAAGAGTCCAAACTTGCTGGATTTAGCAGCATTGTTTCGCTTCGTTCTTTTTTTTTTCCTGTTTTTTTTTTTTTTTTTTTTTTCTCAGCTTCAGGCTGCATCCGTACTGCTGTTAAGAGGGATATCCAGTTGAGGCCCTGTACCCGGACTGCAAAACCTGGAAATCCACCTCCATGACAGCAGAGTTGCTCTACCTATACCTATACGTCTAAAGCTAGAAATCCATCTTAAAGAAGCAGCCGTAAATGAATTCTGAAATGTTACAAACTAGCCACACCGGAAATTTGCTGCCAGGTTTTGGGATTCGGCGGTGGCAATTTGTGCAGAGCCTCTAAAATTCCAGGACGCCAACAGATCCCCTGCTTGCCCACAGCACTCCTCTGGGACTACACTACTGTAGTTTTCTGATGACAGCAGTGTCATTTGCCCTGGCCCTCACACACTGCTACACAGCAATTTGAAGCGAGAAAGCCCTCATAAACCACCAAGTTTCACCTTCTGAAAAAATTCCCATGGAGTGCAAATTTACCAGGTTTGCAGGCAGGCTGGTAAAAAAACAAAGGTGGAAAAAAACCAGCTGCAGGCAGGCTGGTACTCCAGATGTGTGGCCGCCACATATACAGCTGCAAGATTGGCTGAACTGGTGGGTTTGATGGTGGAAATGGCTTTTGCGCTCACTTTCAGAGTGTCTCGGCAACTGTGTTCAAATCGGATCTCTGCCGCAGAACTCTGACTCGTACCGCCTACCCTACACCCACACACACTCCGCACAAATCACCTTGTAATGCAGCTACACTGCAATTTAAAGCTATAGACAGTCCACCAGTACTTCTGAGCCTCCTTCGCCTAGAGGCTGAGGCCCGAAAGACCAGGCGTGTATACCGCCGCCTCGGAACAAGATACGCTGGGAAACGTACCGGTGGTTTTCAGGGTAGAAATGTCGTTCTCGCTCACTCGTAGTGGTTCTCTGCAACTCCGTTGAAATCGACTGCCCTCCGGTTCCCTGGCACCAAAGTGTGACTTCTACCACCTACCCTACACATGCACTCTGGACAGGTCGCCTCTTCCATGGGCCCTCCACACTCCCCAATTACATATGGATGGCCATTTTCGCAGTAGTACCAGTGACCCCTTGTTGGCATGGCTCTTTGTACTGCCCTTATCACTTCCCATCTCTCCTCCGTTCTCACGAGATCGACAATCTCTCTCTCGATAGCAGGGATCTCTGTCGATAGCAGCCTCTGAGCCTCTCCATACAAGTGTTGCACAGCTTGCGCCGACCGAAGTGGGTCCAATTTGGACATCACTTTCTGCAGCATTCCTTTCGCTTCGTCAAGCAAGCTGAACCTCTCCTTCCCTATTTTCTTTTGAAACAGCAGGTAATCCCCCTTCTCCTCGGGTGACAAGTTTTGCAGAGCTGCAATCCCCCATGCTGAGAGCTCAGCAACCATATCCTTCGAGCGTCTCATTAGACTCTCGACGAGATGCAACAGTGCAACGGATTCTGTGCTATGGTTCTTTGTGGTCTCAGCCTGCCTTGCTGCTGTTGTATAGCAGGAATGAGCCCTCTCAAACATCCTTCTTGTATTCTGAAGATGACCTACCACCCGCGGGTCAGCAATCCAGTAGCTGGAAGCTCCTCTTCCAGGTGCCTGTGCTCGCGTATCCTGCTTCGCGAGAGCCGCGGAATGCGAGACCCAGATGTACTCCACTGACATGCTCACGCTCCAAACATCCCCCAGACCAACCTGTGCACAAATCTCAGCTTTGGCGTCTGGTTTTGGCACAGGCAGTTGCCTGGCCAGTAGTGTGGACGAACTGGCACCCTCAGAAGTCGCGAGCCTCGATCCGTCTTCTCTTCTCTTCTGTGCTGCTACAGCTGCCTCGTAGACTCGCAAAACTTGATCAGCCGCGAAAAATGGTCCGAATGTGTCTTCAGCTTTCCCATTGCAGCATGCAGATCTGCTGCTTTGGTGTTCGGTATGAGGAATTCTTGTGTCCTTGTGAAACCGCGGTAAATGAGCTCCTGAGTCTCACGAAATTGCCAACTTCGCGAGTCGCATGTTTGTCTGTTCTATGAATTTCCTTTCTGCCTGGTCCACAAATGCCTTGTTTATCAGACGCCCATACCGAAAAACACCTGCGATCGGCGCACGGCATTCGATGCAACCCTTCAGCTTTGAGAATCCTGGCTCCAGTGGCAGCGCTCGCACCCAGTTTCCATCAGCCCCTTTCTCGTACAGCTTTCCAAATTCCAGATGCCCATCTAATGTAGACACTGTGAATGCGTGCCCGCATTGGAGAATGATAAGTGGGTCCTCAGAAGGATCATGATCTGCCAGTTTAGTACACATGATCATATCCACAACTTGTTCTTTTCTATTGGGTGGCCCACAATGGCGGCAATACACTTTTGTTGGACATTTCTCTCCACAAAGAGATGGGCACTTGTGCCCACAACTAAGGAGCCTGAAACATCGTCGATTGCAAGGTAAACGGTCACATGGTGCACCGCACGGAAGCTGGCAGATGCCAGTCCCATGAGTGCATTTCCAGACACACGGCTCAGCGCAGGGCGCGCAAAGTTGACTGCAGAGCCCGTGGCATTTGCTGTGAGGACACCGAACTTCGCACTGCTCACTACAGGGCCTGCATTTTCTCTCGCTATCCGCACCAGCATGACAAGGCGAGCGGCAAAAATGACCACAAGAAAGCGTCCGCTGACAAATGCTCATGCATTTACAATGCTTCATATCCGAATCACTTTTCCGAGGTAGCTGATGAGGTTGCAATGCCACATCCCTATTCACGTTAGCGGCAACAAGACTGTTGGCTGCTCCCTGTGCAATCAGCTCTTCTCCAAATGTCATTGCCAGGCACTCTCCACACTCTGATGCACAGTTGTGACCACATGGAAGAGGCAACTTGCATTTCTCAGTGCAGAGAAATGGCCGCGCACGCATCCAATCTTGCTCGTTGCAGGGCACTTTGACGGTATGCCCACAACCTCTCATTTGCACATCAACGATTTTTGTGCACGTTTTGGAAAGCTCTTCTAGTTTGCGGGCTCGCCAGCAGGGAACATTCGTTGCTACGTGGCCACAAAGAAGGGTCACAGCTTTCAGAGGTGCTTCACATAGGCCACACGCGTCACCACATAGCTTAAGACAGTGGTGCTGATACTTGCATTCATTGATTGGATGCAGCCGAGGGCATGGCTTGGCACACTTGACACCGATGTGATTTCGATCATCAGGATGGCATCTGCGAAATCCGTAATTGGACGAATGCGCAACACAGCACCACCAAATATGAAGCAGAGAAAATAAAATGAGAAGCAGCATTGAACCCCTGAGGTCCCCCTCCCCCCCTGACCCACCCACACACACACACACACACACACACACACACACACACACACACACACACACACACACA